TCTACCCCAGGCGTCGGCGAGAAAAGCCTGGTCTGCTGGGGGAGGGGGCGCAATAGCTGCGCCCCCCCCGCCCCGAGCAGACCAGGGAGACGCGGAGCGGCTTTTCTTGCCGCGGAGGACGCAGGCGGCGGGACCACCGCGGCGCCTCTTGGTGGTCTGCTGGGGGGGGCGCAGCTAGTTCGGGGTTCCCTCACCCCGTTCTTAAGTAGGGATCCGATGTAAGTCAGACGGACATAACCCGGGGACTGCCTGTACCTAAAAGTTTGTAACAAAGAGTGGGAGAAATTATTCTCCTTAACCTCTAGGACAAGAAGCAATGGGCTTAAATTGCAGCAAGGGAGGTTTAGGAAAACTTCTGTCAGGGTGGTTAAGTACTGGAATAAATTACCTAGGGAAGTTGTGGAATCTCCATCATTGGAGATGCTTAAGAACAGGTTAGACACACACTTGGCAGGGATGGTCTAGATCCGTGATGGACAACGTAGTGAGTGAGTCGCCCTTCTTCATCTCACTGGGCCGTGAGGTTGTAACCAAGATGGTCTCCCGGGATACAGTACTGTGCCAGTTAACCTGTAGCAGCTCTTTGAGGAACTGCACGCCTCTCTCAATCAACATTGTGTGCACTCAGCATGCATCTCTCTTCACATGCCCTTGCTTTACGTGCCTGTCACCTCAGTAATACTGGTAGGAAAAATACATAGAAATGAGCAGAATCTGGCAACCCTTCACGTGGTCAACGGTAAACAAAATGTTTCACGGGCCACACACAGAGCCCTGATTGGCCACAGGTAGCCAGCCCACCACTAGTCTAGATCGTCCTTGTTCTTGCCATCTGGACTTGATGACCTCTCGAGGTTCCTTGCAGTTCTGAGATGTTATAATCTTTCTGGGCTTTAGCTTTCTTCTGGTGAGGATAACGCTCCAGTCTTTTCTTCCTAGCTTAGTTGATCCTGGTCGTATTTGCACTGTTGCTTAGGCTCTGCCTCCTACAGTGTGTGTGCACAGTGCCTAGCACCATGGGGACTTTGAATTGCTGCCATAGCACAAAACATACCTTGATTTTCTTCTGGATCTGTATTGTTACAGTTAGCTTGTCCTTTTTTCAGGTATGAAATAAACACAAAACCAGCAAATGTTTTAGCTCCCTAAATGTTAGGAGTGTTGCAGGTGCCTTTCAGTTAGAGAACACGCTGCTTTCATTGCAGAGTGCGGATCCCTTGTGTGTCTGTGGCTTGAATTTTTAGATCCTTGACTTGTTCTTATGCCTTCTTACTCCCACAGAACACACAAGTGACAGACGCCTGGAACAAAATATCCCACTCGTTTAACTGCACGCCGATTGAAGGTAAGGCCTTGCTGAGCTCAGAGCAGTTGACACCCAGAGGAGAAGGAAAGGTTCTCTTAAGCTATCCAGGGAGCCCTGCTCTCCTCAGTTCGAAACCTTTTAATGCTTGAATAGGTCTGTCACAGAAGCTGTGGAAGTCACAGATGAATGCTTTGGTGCACTCTCCCCAAGCCTGCTCCCCTGAGACCTAGCAGAAGTCATTTAACCTCGATCCTCCAGTTTGCCCTTACGTGTCATAGGGATGTTTACGAATTGACGCAAGGCTCCCTTCAGTCTGGTCACTGGATGACGTTTTCTCACTTCTGAATTGAAGAGTGGGAAGCTGCCTTGGGAAGCGTCGTTGACAAATCAGACCATAATGTTTGAAAAGACCCCTGGGAGCTGAATTCACAGTTCTCATCTGTGTTTAACTGTTCCACGTCTTTGTGCACCTCCCCCCCAACCCCATAACTGGAAGCAGGGCCACGTTGGGGTGGGGGGCAGCATGGACAGGAGGAAGGGAGCCCAAGACTGAGGGCTGTCCTGGGACAGAAGAGCAGAGAGGGGCTGGGTGGTTCTCCCCCACCCCATGAGGTTTGACCTGGGCCTGACTCCGCCTTCTCTTCCCCTTCCCCCTGTTTTTCCCACATGCTGGAGATCTCTGACTGAAGAGTTTGGTTTCAGGACAGTTGCTTTGTGTGTTTGGATATGTGATGTTGGCAAATTTGTGGTTTAGTGGTTAATAAGCTTTGTTTTTAATCATCGTTAAATGGAATCTGACCTCACTGTAAACTCCAGCAACTGAACATTTAAACTGAGAGAACTGAAAGCAAATGTTTAATGTAAACATGGACAATTATCTAGCAAAATTATAAACACAGCTTTTGTGGTCTGTACAGGTTCTGTTACCCTGTTTGCTCATGCAGTGGTGTGGCCATCAGTTACTTCAGCAACAAATCCTGCCGCCCCTAATCAGTTAAATCCCATGACAGACACTAGCAGGCTTGTTCTCTCAGCTTGGCTGCAGAGAGCTGCAGTTCCACGCCTGGGCTGTTTGTTACGTGGGATGTTCTGTAGGTCTTGCCAATGCTTTGCTCCACTCTCTGGGAGAAAAATATCACCTCAGCTGCAGTGAGGAGGCGGCTTCTCATGCTGTCAAGGGAGTTTAAGCAGCCACTGTTTTGGAAACAGTCGGGTGCCGTAATTATGCAGCCACTGGCAGTAGCATAAGGATCCAGTTTATGAAAACAAATGAAGCTGTTTTCTGCCTCGGCTGTGAGCTGTACCACCACTGGCCAGTCTTTCCAAAATGGAGACACGTTAATTTCCTTGCTGTGGCTGGTGACTCGAGAAGACGATTGAGAATGGCCTTCTCGCTTTTCTCAATGAACCTGAATTGTAAGATGCAAAGCAGACGGGGAATATGTGCTGAATGCCCATTAACTAGACTGCAGGGAGCACATAACACATCGAAGCACTGGCCAAAATACTTCTGCCTCCATTCATCCCTGGAGACACTCAAGAATGTATCATTTAGAGCAATGTTTCTTAATCCTTTTTTTAAAAAAAAATAAAGTACCCCTTTTAAAAAAAAATATATAAGTACTACCAGTACCTACAGTTTTCAGACACACACATTTTATTGTCAAAGTTACCAGAAGGCTGAGAAACTAAGGTATAAACATTTTGACCTGAGAATTGGAATCAGAAAAAATATTTTAAACTATCTATCTATACTGTGAAAATACTTCTAGTTAAATTTTACTGGTTTTCTGTTACTACTTTTATGTTGCCAATCAGGTATTTTTGCATATAACAGAAACATTGATTTAGAGACATAGAGTGCCAGTAATCCCCACGTAACTGCTGATTCTCCTGGTAGCTAACATCAGTGCAGGGCAAATTAGTTGAAACAATAATAAAGAATAAAATTGTCAGACACATAGAAGAACATAATTTGTTGGGGAAAAGTCAACATGGTTTCTGTAAAGGGAAATCATGTCTTACTAATATGTTAGAGTTCTTTGAACGGGTCAACAAACGTGGACAAGGGGGATCGAGTAGATACAGTGTTCTTAGATTTCCAAAAAGCCTTTGACAAGGTCCCTCACCAAAGGCTCTTATGTAAATTAAGTTGTCATGGGATAAGAGGGAAGATCCTTTTGTGGGCTGAAAACTGGTTAAAAGACAGGAAACAAAGGGTAGGAATAAATGGTCAATTTTCAGAATGGAGAGGGGTAACTAGTGGTGTTCCCCAAGGGTCAGCCCTAGGACCAATCCTATTCAACTTATTCAAAAATGATCTGGAGAAAGGAGTAAGCAGTGAGGTGGCAAAGTTTGCAGACGATACTAAACTGCTCAAGATAGTTAAGACCAAAGCAGACTGTGAAGAACTTCAAAAAGATCTCACAAAACTAAGTGAATGGGCAACAAAATGGCAAATGAAATGTAATGTGGAGAAATATAAAGTAATGCACATTGGAAAAAATAACCCCAACTATACATACAATATGATGGGGGCTAATTTAGCTACAGCTAATCAGGAAAGAGATCTTGGAGTCATCGTGGATACTTTACTGAAGACGTTCACGCAGTGTGCAGCGGCAGTCAAAGCAAACAGGATGTTAGGAATCATTAAAAAAGGGATAGAGAATAAGATGGAGAATATCTTATTGCCCTTATATAAATCCATGGTATGCCCACATCTTGAATACTGCATAAAGATGTGGTCTCCATTTCAAAAAAGATACTAGCATTAGAAAAGGGCAACTAAAATGATTAGGAGTTTGGAATGGGTCCCATGTGAGGAGAGATTAAAGAGACTAGGACTTTTCAACTTGGAAAAGAGGAGACGGGGGATATGATAGAGGTATATAAAATTATGAGTGGTGTGGAGAAAGTAAATAAGGAAAGTTATTTACTTGTTCCCATAATAGAAGAACTAGGGGCCACCAAATGAAATTAATGGGCAGCAGGTTTAAAACAAATAAAAGGAAGTTGTTCTTCCCACAGCGCACAGTCAACCTGTGGAACTCCTTGCCTGAGGAAGTTGTGAAGGCTAGGACTATAACAGGGTTTAAAAGAGAGCTAGATAAATTCATGGAGGTTAAGTCCATTACTGGCTATTAGCCAGCATGGGTAAGGAATGGTGTCCCTAGCCTCTGTTTGTCAGAGGGTGAAGATGGATGGCAGGAGAGAGATGGCTTGATCATTACCTGTTCAGTTCACTCCCTCTGGGACACCTGGCATTGGCCACTGTCAGCAGACAGGATACTGGGCTGGAAAGACCTTTGGTCTGACCCAATATGGCCATTCTTACGTTCTTATGTATCTGATGCCCCAGCCTAGAGACCAAAAAGAAGGTTGGCCTGTTTAAAACATATGCAGCATGATTTTAGGCCATGTATGCCTGGAGTTACTGTTGAACCAGTGTGGCCTAATGGTGAGTAATGTGCTGGGAGTTGGACGTGGTACAGAAGAGTCTGTCTGTGCCTATATCTCAGACCTACAATTACCCCTGTAAAGTGGGGCCATTTGCTTAGATCACAGTGTAGCTGTGAAAGTACTGAATGAAGCCAATTGAGATCCTTGGATGGAGGGGGCAGTAGAAGGGCACGCTGTCACAAATTTTAGTTTTCCAGTTCTCCTTACGGCAGAAAGCTGAAGGGCAGGTTCTTGGAGCGTTACTAATGCAGCTGGTTTGCGGTTCTGAGGTGCTAATGGAGTCTCTTACCTTGGCAGGGATGTTGTCACATCAACTGAAACAGCACGTGATCGATGGAGAGAAAACTATCATCCAAAACCCTACAGACCAGCAAAAGTAAGTCTCCTCCGGGATTGTGGCCTCTCTCAGCACCATTGCAAGGGGATGTGAGGGCAGCACTATAGTCAGACTCGCTTTTTTTTTTTCTACTTCCTGGCTTCTGGTACCTGAATGGGTAGGATATTGAATGTTCATTAGTCCTGAGCCTTCCATGTTTTTCTGACACTCTGCATTGACAGCACAGGTTGAGAGGCAATGACTGATGGTCCTTTCGCTGGCAGCTGTGCAGTGCATTGGTCTTACTAGAAAGTATCCCCACCACTAAATCAGTCCTTGGCTTCTGACGTAGCCCATCACTTCCATTGTGGCAGCGGGTTTCTTTTATCTGGACTTGAGTTCACTTGGAACTAGATTGAGAGCAGCCAGATTAGTTCCCATGGGCTCCCATTTTCAGTCACATCTTGGGTTATCTCATTTCTTTCCCTTCTACCAGCTCATCTCTTTCTGTTAAGGATATGCTCTGGTTGTTTAGACCCAACATTGAGGATTTGTGGTTTTTTAAAATCTCTCATCTACTGCTTACATTGTAAGGACCTTCGTTATTGTGTTTAAAATATCTTCAATTAAAATCAATCCGGAAGCTGCAGTCTGGACACTCTCTAACACTGAGTGAATGCAGGACATATTGGAAGTGAAACTGACCAGTCTGTTCTAGGTTGAGTGAAGTGCAGAGGGTAAACAGAGTGTAAGTGACTTAAAGACCCTCCCGTCTTACTGATTGACGTGGCCTGGGGCAGTAAAGAATTTCCTGAGTGGTGGTTGTCAGATCTCTAGGGCTGCTACAAAACACCTCCATGGACCCTGGGCTCTATCTCCTGTGTGTTGGTTTGTTGCAGTACCTCTAATTGCAGTATAAAGTGCCATCACTGAGCTCTCTCTCCTCCCCCATCTTTGTGCCAAGGAGGATTTTCCCTTCTCACTTTGCTCACTTGCCAAACCCCTCCCATCTAGGAAGGACCATGAAAAAGCTGAGTTTGAGGTTCATGAAGTTTACGCCATTGACGTTCTTGTCAGCACTGGAGAAGGGAAGGTGAGTGTCCTTTGGCGCGTTGTTGCTTTATGCCCATGTGCACTTCACAATGGCCCCTTGCTCTGAACGTGGCATTGGGAGCCAGGTTCCAGCTGTGGAGCACTTGCTGCATGCAGTCACTCCACCTCCTTGTGTCTCCCTGGGTCTACAACGGAGACCCCTCCGGTGAGGGCTGGGAATATTCAGGTGTGTAGATGTGGAGGTCCCAAAGCTCCCAGCATGCACTCAGTCTTACAGTCCACCTGGATAGTCAAGCTGTGGGCTGTGTTTGAGTCTTGCTTGTGTTTTTAGGCCAAGGATGCTGGCCAGAGAACTACCATTTACAAAAGGGACCCCTCCAAGCAGTACGGCTTGAAAATGAAAACCTCCCGTGCCTTTTTCAGTGAGGTGGAGAGGCGCTTTGACACTATGCCATTTACGCTCAGGTATGCTCTCTCCTTCCCTTCGTGGCCCCCATCAGCCCAGAATCAGGGGACAGGCAGGAGCCATCCCCTGTTTGTTGACTTCAAAAAAGTGGTTTGACTGCTTCTGTGTCTCAGAGGGTGCTGCTATGGCAGGATGGGCTGCAGCTGGACAAGTTGCAGGCACAGGATGTGATTGGCTTCAATGCTTCACCCCGACCAGGAGTCTGAGGGTTTGAGACCTTCCTGTGCCTTGTGTGAGGTTGAGGAACCAGTCCTGTCATGTGCACAAAGAGTGGAGTGAAAGCTGTGCCAGGATGCAGGGTAGTTCCAAGCGCCCTTTTTTGGCGGATGTGCACGTTAGCAAAAGGAAATGACTTCGCAGGATAATGTTCCCTCTGTGCCCAAGCTTTGGGGGGTTCTAACTTAACGCCTTGCGTTCGCTTATCTCCATTCCTTACTGAGCTTTCATCCGTGCGCCTGCTGCCAGCCATCCTGCTCCAGCAGCACACCCCAGCAGGGCTGGCCTCTAAACAGAGAGGGACCAAGTCACATCCCCTGCCAAGCCCCCAGCTGGAAGCTAGGCAGCACAGTTGGCGCTGTCGTTTGGCTCGCCTCTTGTGAAAACGGGAGTCAGTTTGATCACGAGCTCAGCGCAAGAGGCAGAAACTCAGGTCTGTGGCTCTCCCCCTTTCTGTGCAGGGCATTTGAGGATGAGAAGAAGGCCAGGATGGGGGTAGTGGAATGCGCCAAACACGAGCTGCTCCAGCCTTTCAATGTCCTCTATGAAAAGGAAGGTGAGTTCTTGAGGGAAAGGGGCTTGCAGGAGTGCACAATGCCTGGTAGCGCAACTTCTGGTCCCCGTCCCCCTCCCCTCCAGCTCTGATACAACATGTTCCCACTTCAGCCATGTCCCTGGAGGGTTGTGCTATGCACATGTTCAGAATGAACCAAGAGATTTATTTGCTAAGTAGCTTTTAACCCATTGTCTGCCAGGACTTGCATAAGAGTAATCCTGCTTGTGAGTGCTGCTGGGCCTTGGGGGATATCTCCTAGAGGTGGTGATGGAAGTGCCACCATTGTGGTTTGCATAAAAATTAGACTGGAGGACATACTTCTTCGCAGAAGGAGCCTGCCCTGAGTGGGGGAGGGACTTCACTGAAACACTGCAGGTGCAGTTGACGGATTGTCCCAGGCAGAGGCAACAACTAGAAAGCAACATGGCTTTTGGGGTGCACCCTGTTCCACTGTCGTCTGTGTAGCTCAGCTCTAACTCTGATTCCTGCTTCACAGGCGAATTCGTTGCCCAGTTCAAATTTACAGTGCTTTTGATGCCCAACGGTCCCATGAGGATAACCTGCGGCCCCTTCGAGCCGGAGCTCTTCAAATCCGAGTTTGAGGTTCAGGATGCAGAACTGAAGGTCAGTCCAAGGAGAGGGGTTTGGTTCCCTGAAGTGCATTGAGTGACATAACTTAACTCACCTGGGGGGGGGGGGGCATGAGGCATGCGGTTTGGTAGCAGACTGCAGATTGGTCAGTCCCCTTTTCTCTGCTAGCCCACTCGGAGTGCTGGGTTGTTCTCAGTCTCGTGGGCAACACCTAGAACTCTGATGGGCTGCAGGTTGCCCCCCGCTGCTCTAAGCTGTTTGGATCAGTAGATTAGGACACCCCACACTGGTCTTGTTGCATCTCAGCCAAACTCTTCCAAAGGGTTCCTGTCACGGAGAAGGGCAGGACTGTAAGGAAAGGAAGAAAATCTAACATCACCTGAGATTCAAAATGAGACCCATCTGAGTACGGAGCTTATACTGCTGCCATCGTGGCAGTATCAGGGTACCTCCTGATCTTCTCAGAACTTATCCTTAGAACTCCCTGTAAGGCAGGGCTGTGCTTTTAACACGACGGGCACAGAGGCCCAGAGAAGCAAAGGGACCAGGCCAAGCTCTGCAGAAACGGGGAGGGCAGGTTTGATGAGAAAGCTGAGCATCTGGTTCTGAAGCCTGATGGAGCTGGCTGAAAGCTCTCTCGGGGCGTGGTTCTGAGGCGCTGCTCTGCAGCAGCATTTAAAGCAAAGAGGAGCAGCTTGTCCTGCCTCCAGAACGCTGCAGTCCAGTTTCAGGGGGGTCATGTCAGGAACATGATCTCAGCAAATCTCCTGCATCCTCCGCAAATGACACCTGCTTGGTCACACGTCTTCCTTTCCTGCACTGGCAGGGGGATTGAGAGAGGTTGTGCTGCTCAGCTGTAGGCAGATCAAGTCTCATTCCCCAGATCAAACCCTCCAGGATGTGCTGCTGTTCCTCTCTGGCTGGCAGAGGCCAGATGTTTTGTGATGATGGAATTTCCCTTTATACTCAGAGTGGCCCACTGTTTATCTTCTCTTCCTCTGCCTAGGCACTGCTACAAAGCTCCGCCAGCCGGAAAACCCAGAAAAAGAAGAAAAAGAAGGTAATTTGGCTGTCGCTTCAGAATGGTTGTGTCTCACACATATGGGTTAACTGCTTCTCAGGAGCCCCAAATGATTTTGGCTCCTTTTAGCCTTGCAGAGCTCTTACGGCTGTGGAAGAGGGAGATGGATTCTGATCCAGCTCATGTGGTGTTAATGGGGCTAGTCTCCACATACCGTAGTCTAGTCTGCTGCTCTCCCTCTCCCTTCCCCTCCCAGCAGGGGGGTAACTATGGTGGAGGCGGAGTGATGTGTCAAAGCAGAGTTATGCTCTGGAAGGGACTAGATCAGCTGAGACATCTGACCAACTGGCATTGATAAGATGGAGAGTTTCAAGAGACTTGTGCCAGCATCAGAGAGACTGTGGGAAGGGAAGAGGTGCCCCGTGCTCACCAAGCTAACCAAGTTGGGGAGTGCGGTGTGGAGATGCAGGCAGCCTTTGAAAGGGAAGGTTGACCCTGAAACAAATGGAGTAGTGCAAGCTGGCCAACCCCAGGGTACTGTGGGCCTGCCCATCCCTGAGTTGTCTCCAGAATTAGCAGTTCTCCCTTCAGAAGCAGAGTCACTTATCCCTCCGTGGGTTCTTTCCTGCAGGCATCTAAGAACGCCGAGAATGCCACCACGGGGGAAACAGCAGAAGAGAACGAAGCTGGCGACTGAACGGCTCCGGCTCCCCTCATGTAGCACCCAAGTCTCTCGCGCACACCCCCAAAAATGAGAAACAAAAAAGTAGTGCTGTCTGTCTCTTTACATCCCCAGTGACAGACAGCCTGGCCTTCCCACTGACAACAGCCAGCTCCAATTGACTCTGCTCTGAGGGAGGATTCACTTGGCAACTTCAGACTGCTTTTAAACAACCAAAATAACAAACCCAGGAGTAAAAACTAGTCTATCCCCCACACTTTCTAACCTTTTTGCTACTCCTTGTGCTTGTTGACGAGGTGAGTGCCAGCTCTGCTGTGAGAGGGGGAATGTAGACAGGTCTTCCTTCTTTCCTCTCCATCCCCTTTCTCATTTCTCTCCTGAAAGATTTTCTGATCCCTCTTGGGAGGGAGGAAAAAATCTTCGGTCGCATCTGACAACTAACTGATTAAGCCTGCGAAGCACCATGCGTTTAGGGAGTCGGTACGCATGGATGGTAGTACACCTGCTTCCCATCACTGTCCCAGCAACCCCTGCCCACAAGGACACTTCTCCTTTAAACGGCTACCTTGCTATGGAAGTTTTCACTTTTTTTAGCCTGTATATTTAAAATTGGGAAATTCATATCAAATTTTATGCCCCCTACTGAGTTTTGCTTATGTTGGTTTATGTCTAAACTCTATTTTTAATACACAGGTGTGATAAGCTTGTTTTTAATTGAGTCGTAATTTTGTCAGGAAGGAAGGACCCTATTCGAGCCATGCTTCCCACTAACCCGTTGCAAACTCCTCCGAAGGGCAAGAGGTGTCTGGGGAGCATCCGCCAGCTATTGTTTAGTACTTTGCCAGCATTTTTAACTTCCCAGTGTCCCAAGGCAGTTCAGCATGCTTTTCTCCCCCACCACCTATGGCTGGCTTCTGCACACCAATCCAGCTGCCACTGCTTATGTCGTGTATAGCTGGCTTTTTCAGAAGAATGCCCCCTCTCATCCCCACACACCGTTCTGTGCCATTAAAGAATTTGGGAACTATTGCAGAAGTAGAGCAGACTCCAATCTGGGAATCTTTTCTATAATGTCTTTTTTTTTTTTTTTTTTAAAGCTGTCCGGTTGAATTGTACGGCTGAGTGGGGGTTTTGTTATCCAGCCAGGTCTCTAAGCACTTACTGTAGCTGGCTTGGAAGGCAGCCTGCCTGTTAAACCATACTCTTTCTGATGAGCGCACCTGTGCTTTTCTGCAGGTCAAGCGCTTCCTTGGCAGTATTTGAGTTTGAAAATTTAAATGAGGAAAAAAAGAACCTTGCAAATGCTACCAAAGTTTAAGTTAATAAAAGGAAATAAACAAGATTTTTTTTTCCGAATGATTTTTCCATCTGTCTGCAAACTGCTCCTCTTTCTAAACTCTGTTCAGCTCTTGTAGGGGGTTGGGTAGTAGAGATGCTGTGGGCTAATGGATGCAGGGTAGCTGCCATCACACGCTGAAGTGGCGGTGGGACATGCCTATCCAAGACTTTGAAATTGCTGGTGGCTTAGGTTACGCTGCTCCCAAATGTTAACCACGAGCTTAAGGGAAAATAAAGATGCCTTGTTCCTGAAGAGGAACATTTTAGCATTTATAAGCAATACACTGTCTATTGCCTTTGGTAAAGGAAGGGCAGGGCTAATCTTTCGCATTCACAATACCGATTTGTAAACCACTAAGACTTGTTGGAGGTTTATTTAATTTTCTATTTTTACTTTGAAATAACATTGGAAAAAATGTACGTCTCGAGACAAGAACAATAATTCCGGTTGTGAAAAGTTTTGAAACAAAATTCCCAAGAAATATTCTGTAACTGATTTTTTTTCCAAATAAAATTGACTAGTGACACTGCTGTTTGGACAGAAGAATGAGTCTGCTATTTTGGGGTCTCGGATGTTGAGGGGGGAGTATATGAGAGGCAGAAGAAATGTGAGCTGTATTATTTCTGTAATCCATTTCACTTGAAAATATTTTAAGGTATTTTGTGTACTTCAGTGCATCATTGAAGTGCAGTCACTTCTGGGGTGGAGGTTGCTGGACAAAGCACATTGTGTTCTGCAACTGTGGTGAAGGAAAAAATGTGGCCAAAGGCAGGGATCCTTTCATTTTCAAATTCAGTGTTTTGGGGATTGCCTGAAATACTTGGGTGGGCATGGAACTCCATTTATCTCCTTTGGGAGGATAAAGATGTGACAGGGTGGATCACAGGATTGCTAGGCATGCCACTGAGCTTGTGGGGTGCCCCACCATCCTGTCTTGCTGGACCAGAAGCTCTGGTCTCCCCCAGCCAAGTTACAGAGCTGGGGTAATAGGCCTCCTAGCAGAGCAACATAGATATTGAACCATCTCCACTATAAGGGCCCCAAAGAGGCCAAACCCCCAAATCCATTTTATTCTGTATAAGTTTTACACAGAAAGCTTTAAAGTTCACCTTCTTTATTAGTGCAGAGATGCACAGTGGTTGCTCCTCTCAGGTAACAATTATTTAAAGTGGGTTTGATAGTAAATGTTAAATATGAAAAGTAAGATTTAAGTGATTGCAAGTGAAAACAGATCAAAGTAAGTTACTAAGCCAAAACAAAACAACAGCTAATCCTAATACACTAAGACTTGTTACATGTAAATTCTTATCCTAATAATAGTTCTAATAATCTTTCACAAGCTAAACAGCCTCCTAGCTTTGGCCCAGTTCTTCCTCCTGTTCACGCTTAGATGTTTCCAGCAGGCATTTTGGGTGCTAAGTGGGGATATCCTGGCCACCCACCTCTAATGTTTGGTTTCCTACCTTTTCATTCACTGGTCGTTGACTTGATCACTGAGCCATTAAGTTTCTAAAGCCGTGATTTCCAACATGCTAGCCACATGTGGCTAGTTGGCTATAGCAGTAGCTACTGCTTCAGAAGTGGTTGGACAACCACGGTCCTAAAGTATCATATGGCTTTTACTAGAATACCCCGCACGAATAAAACAGGTTCCCACTAAATATTTCTAACTTCACATACGAGAAAGTTAAATGTGCATGCACAGATGATATAGATTCAGTGGATTACAGCTTTATGAAAAATGGGTCATGCAACATCAGTATGAATTATGCATATTCATAAGCTAATTTTCATGATGGAGGGGTGACACAAGGAAGGGCCAGGTTGGCCCAAGAGTGTTGGAGCATTTCACATTCGGATGGTCATGTAATCAGGTCATTTTTGCCCCATAGCTTTTGTGGAGGATCCTCTTGCCTAGCTGTAGTGCAGGCAAGAGGTAATGGAATCCCTGTGGATGTATTTAGTGCAGGGGACATTTGGTGTGAGAAACAAATTGTCCTTTAAATTCTTGTACAGTAAGTTCTCACCTCCTCGGTCTCATTCATTCTGCTGGCTAGTAACCAAAGCAGCATGCGCTGCGTTAGGGTAGACCATGTTGGCGTCCTTATGCTGGGGATTTTTGTATGCCCCGGAGGTTAATCTGAGGAGGGGTACTAGGATATTTCAATAAGGCCTATTAAGTCCGTTCCAAGTCCCAAGCTGGTGGTGGCAGTTATTTGTTAACCCTAATGCCCCGCAATCAAGGGGGTGTGGCATTCACAAATGCCTTGGCACAGCTGTGTACCTCAGCTGTGGGTTCTTTTACCTCTGCTGCTGTCACCGTACTGCTCTGTAGGAGGTCAGCCAGCCTGGGGGTTATATTCCTGGCTGTCCCTCACTCTAATGTGGATTGGGCAAGTCTATTTCCACCTGCTACAGAGCTGTCTGCAAAAATGAGTCGCGGATAGCCACATCCATGTCTGCAGACACATACCCACAGATATAGAGCGGCTATCCGTGGATTTGCAGGGATCTAGGCACAGGAAGGCTTTTCCACATGACCTTCTGGGGCACCCGGTTAGGACAGGGCTCAGAAAGTATCTAGACTGACCAAAAAACAATTGCATTCAATTATTTATATTTCAGTAGAATCCCTGCCGACATAGAATAATAGAACTGAAAGGACCTTGAGAGGTCATCAAGTCCAAGCCTCTGCATCATGGCAGGACCAGGCATCATCCAGATCATCCCTGAGGGGTGTCGGTTCAATCTGCTGTTAAAAATCTCCAATGATGGAGATTCCTCAATCTCCCAAGGCAATTTATTCCAGTGTTTAACCACACTGACAGGAAGCTTTTCCTAATATCCAACCTAAACCTCCCTTGCTGCATTGCCCATTGCTTCTTGTCTAGGTAATTGAAATCTGCTATCATGTCCCCTGTCGTCTTTTTTTCCAAACTAAACAAACCCAATTCTTTCACTCTTCCCTCGTAGCTCATGTTTTCTGGACCTTTAATTTTTGTTGGTCTTCTCTGGATCTTCTCCAATTTGTACACGTCTTTCCTGAAATGTGGTGCCCAGAACTGGACACGATACTCCAGTTGAGGCCTAATCTGCACAGAGTAGAGCAGAAGAATGACTTGTGTTTTGCTCACAACACTCCTGTTAATGTATCCCAGAATCATGTTTGCTTTCTTCTGCTATAGTGTCAGACTGTTGACTCATATTTAGCTTGTGGTCCACTATGACCCCTAGATCCCTTTCTGCCGGACTCCTTCCTAGACAGTTGCTTCCCATTCTGTATGTGTGAAACTGATTGTTCCTCCCTAAGTGGAGCCCTTTACATTTGTCCTTATTGAATTTCATCCTATTTACCTCAGGACATTTCTCCAGTTTATCCAGATCATTTTGAATTCTTAGCCACAAACTTTATGGCTACGTCTACACTGGCATGATCTTGCGCAAGAACTCTTTTGTGGAAGAGTACTTGTGCAAAAACTCTTCCAGAAGAGAGTGTCTACACTGGCATGTGCTTTTGCGCAAGAGATATGCTTTTGTGCAAGAGCATCCATGCCAATGTAGACGCTGTCTTGCGCAAGAAAGCTCTGATAGCCATTTTAACCATAGGGCTTTCTTGCGCAAGAAATTCATGTTGCCTGTCTACACTGGCCTCTTGCGCAAGAACAGTTGCGCAAAAGGGCTTATTCCTGAGTAGAGCATCATAGTTCTTGCACAAGAAGGACTGACTTCATACATTAGAACGTCAGTTTACTTGCGCAAGAACTCGCGTCCAGTGTAGACAGGCAGCAAGTTTTTTTGCACAAGATTGCGCCAATGTAGACACAGCCTATAAGTGTACTCTCTGTACAATTATCTAAATCGTTGATGAAGATCTTGAACAGGACCGGTCCCAGAACTGACACCCTCTTGTTATGCCTTTCCAGCATGACTGTGAACTTAATAGTCATTATTCAAATAAATATATCTATTTGATCTGAGGAAGTGGGTCTGGCCCACGAAAGCTCATCATCTAATAAACCATCTTGTTAGTCTTTAAAGTGCTACATTGTCCTGCATTTTGCTTCAACTACCCCAGACTAACACGGTTACATTTCTATCATTATTCATATAATGACTCTGTGAAGGCGGTTATCCTACCAGGTATGCACCCACTTTTTAGTAGCCCCTTGGATGTCCATGGATGTTCTTGCTCCATTGTAGGTCCTGTTTGACTATGCCCTGTTTGTTGGAATCCTTATTCAGAAACACCTCAACGATTATGACCATTTCATCATCAGGGGAATACTTCTCACCACCAAGGTCTCCTTTCACTTGAGGGAACAGGCAGAAGTCTGGGGGAGACAAAGCTGAATGGGAAAGCAGCTAAAAGCCACATTTGGTTGCTGTGATCACTGCAACTTGGGATCTTGGAGATAATTTGGGGACCAAGTTTCAACAATCAGTGGGGCCCCATCCCTCCCATTTCACTTTATTGATGTAGAACAGCTATGGGGGGGACGGGGACTGCTACTAGTGCCCCCCTTCCTCCCATCAGCTTTGGGTTAGTTTCTAGTTCTCTTGAATCAAGCTTGGCTTGCATTCCTCTGCATATTCCCTTCTGCCTGAGCTAGAGTGAGGCTAGCTGGTCTTGGCAGCACGGGGGCAGGTGCATTCGCCTGTCCAAACATAGACCACACTGATCCAAAGAAGATACGCATCTGTTCGAGCCCTAGCCATTCTGTTTTAGCAGTTCCCCTGATTCTGCAGGTGACCCTGGAGTTGTTGGCCAGTAGGCCAGACTGTACCATCACACAAACAGCTGCATGTCAGTCAGGCCAACATCTTGCCCAGTGTTTTAGGGCTTGAAGGTGAATGTGTGAGCTAGGAAGCTAGGCTCTGTAGCTGAGGCTATAATAATGCTGTGGATTGGCAGAGAGGGGTGCCCTTTGCATGCAGTGGATTAAATTCAATGTTGATCAATGCAAAGTTACATACACTGAAAAACAGAATCCGGACTATCTCATCTAAAATGATGGGGTCTAAATGATTTGTTACCACTCAAGAGAAAGATCTTGGAAGTGTTGTGGACAGTCCTCTGAAAACATCCCAATGAGCAGCAGCAGTCAAAAAAGTGAATAGAAAGTTGGGAGCCATAAGGAAAGGGTTAGATAATGCAACAGAAATGATCATAAATACAGTGCAGACATCTGGTAGCCATATCTCAAAAAAGAGATAATGGAAAAGGTACAGAAAATGGCAACAGAAATGATTGGGGGATGGAACAGCTTCTGTATAAGGAGAGGTGACTAAGACTGGGACTGTTCTCTTGGGGGGAAAAAAGATAATTTAATGAGGGGGAGTAATAGATGACAGGTGGGGAGAAGGGAATAGAGAAGTGTTATTTACCTCCTTGCATAACACGAGAACTAAGAGTCACCAAATGAAATTAATAGACAGCAGGTGTAAAACAAACCAAATGAATTATTTCTTCATATAATGCACAGTCAGCCTGTGGGACTCCCTTGCCAGAGGATGCAGTGAAGGCCAAGACTATTACAGGGTTCAAAAAAGGAGCTAGATAAATTCATGGGGGATGGCTCCACCCATGGCTCTTAGCCAGGATGGGCAGGGATGGTGTCCTTAACCTCTGTTTGCCAGAAGCTGAGAATAAGCAACAGGGGATGAATCACCTGATGATTCCCAGTTCTGTTCATTTCTTGTGGGGCACTTGGCATGGGCCGCCGCGGGCAGACAGGCTACAGCACTAGGTGGACTTTGATCTGACCCATTGTGGCTGTCCTATGTTCTGAAAGGAGCAGCTGCAGCTCCATTTCTGCACAGCAATAGTAGGCTGTTATCCCAGCTTGGTCCCTTGCACTAGTCAGGGTCTTGCTGTTGCACACCAAACACTTGGGCCTGTGCACTGTGTCTCTAGGGGCAACGAAGCTCAGGCCACTGGAGTGTCCCTGGAGGTGGGATTAGGCCTTGCACCTCCCCCTCAGCAGCTCTGAGCTCAGCTTGCAGGAGCTGTATTCAAAATGGAGGCCCCTTGCTGTGGGAGAAAACTACATATCCCGTGCTGCCCCGCGGCGGGGAAAAAACGCTTCCCGCCA